TAAAGTTTAATACCCACATTGCAATATTTCATTTATTTTATCAATTTGACTGAGTTAAAATTTTCAAATAGGTGGCAACCCTCCTCAAAAATATTTCCAGCAGTTATCTTTCTGAAACCTCTTTAATTTAATATCTATATTGTAATATATCATTTAGTTTATCAATTAAATTGCGCTAAATTTTTTAACAGGTGGCAATCCTCCTTTAAAATATTTTCGCCTGTGAGCCTTCTTTAAACTCTTTAGTTTTATACCTTGCAATATTTCATTTACTTTATCAATTTAACTGGGTTAAAACTTTTAAAATAGGCGGCAACCCTCCTAAAAAATATTTCCAGCAGTTATCTTTCGTGAACCTCTTTAATTTAATATCTATATTGTAGTATATCATTTAGTTTATCAATTAAATTGCGCAAAATTTTTTAACAGGTGGCAACCCTCCTGTAAAATATTTTCGACTGTAAGCCTTCTTAAAACTCTTTAGTTTGACACCCACATAGCAATATTTTATTTATTTTATCACTTTGACTGAGTTAAAATTTTCACATAGTAGGTGGCAACACTCCACAAAAATATTTCCAGCAGTTATACCCTCTTTAATTTGATAACAATATTGTAATATTTCATTTATTTCATCAGTGTAATTTAGTTAAACTTTGAAACAGGTGGCAACCCTAATGATACATATTTTCGGCTGTAAGCCTTCTTAACACTCTTTACCAAACAATACAAAAAAAAAAAATTATTCAAATCGGTTCAGCCGTTCTCGAGTTTTGACGACCGTGACATACGAACACAACATTTTTATTAATATAGATGTATATGCATGTGTCTACATATGTAGTTCAAGGGGCACCGAAATTGCGCATATGGAAACTGTGCATTTAGACATTATTTCGGTTTCAACCGAAACTGTGCATGTATGCTTTATTTCGGTTTTTACCATATGCATTATTTCGGTTTTAAACCGAAACTGTGCATGTATGCATTACTTCGTTTTTTTTCATATGCATTATTTCGCTTTTAAAACGAAAGTATGCATATGCATAATTTCGGTATTTTCTCATATGCATTATTTCGGTTTTCAACCGAAACTGTGCATGTATGCATTACTTCGGGTTTTTCATATGCATTATTTCGGTTTTCAACCGAAACTGTGCATGCATGCATTATTTCGGTTTTTGTTATATGCATTATTTCGGTTTTCAAACGAAAGAGTGCATATGCATAATTTCGGTTTTTCTAATATGCATTATTGCGGTTTTCAACCGAAACTGTGCACATATGCATTATTTCGGTTTTTTTCATATGCATTATTTCGGTTTTCAACCGAAACTGTGCATATATGCATTATTTCGGTTTTTTTCGTATGCATTATTTCGGTTTTTTTCATATGCATTATTTCGTATGCACAGTTTCCATATGCACAATTTCAGGGTGCCGTAGTTCAATCATAAATTCCAATTTATTTTTTTTTTACTTTAGGTGGTCGCCCCCCTTTTATTCGTTCGTCCATAGCAATTTGGAAATCCACACTCCCTAACATACTAACTAAATTTACATTATATGAAATTTACTTAATCGTAATTAGTAATAGGCTAAATTAAAAGTTGAAAAATTAAGTTCGTTTTATATTTAATACAATTTTTTTTTGGTTTCCGTAAATATTTAACTAAACATTTTAATGTTTAATTTTGAAAGTATTTTACAATACAATATTTGTTCATTAAAATTTTTTTTGTAGTCTTAAGTAGCAATTTCTTTTTTAGCTTAGGGTATTGTAAAATAGTTGTTACAAATTTATTTCTTATAAATAAACCTAAGTACATTCAAAACATATTTTTTTCACTAGTATTTATAATATTGAGTTTATATAAATTAACGAATTGTGTTCAGTTGCGAAAAATTTCTATTTAGTGAATAATATTTCATTTTAAAATTTTTTATGTTCGTGTGATTGACTTGAAAAATTCATAAACATCTTTTTGTTATATTTTGAAATAATAGTTGGTTGAGATAAGATTTTCAACTAACTTTTTGAACTCTGGTTTTGTGGGTCGTTTTTACTTTATCTTTTTCTTTATCGAAGATAGTGATATTAACATCATCTACTTTAGTTACAACGTGAAGACCCTGACATATATTTTCATGCTAGATTCTGGGTTCTTTTTGTACCAGAACGAGATCGTTTTCTTTAATTTGTACTGGGCGAAAGTGTATTATACAAAACTTTGTTGCAGATTTTATGTATGTTAATTAATTCTTTGGCTATTGCACGTGATTTTTGCATCCGGTACTTAACCTCTTTTGCATAATTTTCAACATTTTAAATGGGATCAGTTTTTCGTTTTTTTTTTCAAATCGTGCGGTAAAGTCGGTGTTTTCCCGAAAACTGGTTCGAATGGAGTAAATTTATTGTTAAAAACAGAATTTGGAGTAGTATTATGCAAAAAAGTGAAATACCTAAGATAACTGTCCCAGTCAGAGATAAGGTGTGTACTCGTATTGAGAGGAAAAAGTTCTCCAGCAGCAAATGTTCTGAGAATTTACCAGCATTCGCTCTCAAAGAGACGAAATATCAACAGAAGTACGAGAACGCAATATTTGCAAAAACTTGCAAGCAGCTAAACAGCTGATTCATTTGGTGGGAAAAAATAAAGAATAAAGAATAAAAATGGAAAATAACAATGAATTAACAATTAATTGTTCCCCAGGAACTTTCAAAAAGATTCAAGCAGGTAAGAAACGGAAATTATGATTATTAGACTATAAGCATTGTAAATAAACACTTTTTATTTACTTATTGAAACCTGAAAATCCAAATTGTAGGCAGTGTGTAATACAGCAAGGTGCCGGGGAAGATACGTTTGGACAAATAACGTTTTCCCAAAAAGAGCCAGAAATATCTATCTAAGCAGGCTGCTTGTGCATATCAGCAAAATGTGGATACGGCCCCTAGAGAATCGCCAGATTTAGCAAAACCATTGTGGTTGGATGCGCCATCGAGATTTTTAATCGAGAAGGTTTGGGATTTATGTCTAAGGGTTGGCAAAAGCGATTCTCTAAAAAACACGAAGCAAATGTGGACTACAACTCGCAAAGAACTTTGCGAAATGGGATACATGTTTACGGCGGTGCAAGTGCAGACGAAATTCTATACCCTAGAACGGAACTGCAAGCAAGCGGCTTCGAATAAATCCAAAACGGGAAGGGCAAGACAGATCTGCGCATATCAAAAGTAAGTCTGTATAGGGTTTTTAATATGTTTTAAGCGAAATAAACCAAAGTTTTCGTTTATATTTATGTACATTAAGTGAACTCCAGTCTTGACGTCAGCACTGGTGTAGAAGAATTCTTAGATGCGGCGCCAGCTACACCAGGTACATACATATCGCTCATTTACTCCAATAGTGCCATAATCCAAAAATTACAAATATTTAAGTACGCAAAAATTACCGCTACGTTTTCTATGTTGTGTAAAAATTTCATAGATGAATCGGTTACCAGTAGCCAACTAGAACATAATATGTATTCATGTATGTAAATTCAAAACTTTAAAGCCGTTTTTCTCGAGTTTTTTTTTTTTAGTTATTACACTATCGAAGTAAACGAGCAATATGTTTGAATTATAAATATTCCTTACATAAAATATATTTATTTGTATATATGTAATAGACGAGCCCGATTTCACGCCGTCCACTTCCAACAAAAGGAAACCTTCGCCAGCTACACCAGGTACATATGTATGTTTGCATTATATATGTTTCTAACATACAATATATTTAATATGTTGTTTATATAGTAGATGTCCCCGATTTCACGCCGCACACCTCCAAAAGAAAGAAAACTTCGCTAGAGCGGTATTTAGAAAAAAAGAAAAGTCAGATGAAAGATTGGAGAAACTGTTTGAGGAGAGTTTGAAGAGAAAGGCTTATTTGATGGAAAGGAAAGAGCAGAGGGAAATAGAAAAACTGCTAATAATGATGTCGATAGCTGATTTGCTGAAAAAGTAAAACCATGGTAATTGCCAAATGAGAATTTTTAATATCTTATCTACATAAAATAATACTGAACTTTATTTTATTCAAACACGTTTTCTTTATTCCAGGAACAAATCCGGTAAACTTATAGCTTTGTTGTTTTTTTTCCTAAAAATTACTAATATAAACATACAAAATTAAGTAAGTTTACGAGGTTTAGGTAGTTACGAGACATTTACGCGTTTGGGTGAATTGCCCTAATATTTCTAATTAATTTGTAGAAGTTTAAGTGCAAATGAAAGTACAAATGAAATAAATACATGTATGTGATTCACTAAGTTGTTTAGTTTTGAATTATGATGATATTATAATGATCATTTCTTGAGATTCTCTGACATTTTGTACAAAGCTTTCAACATTGATTTATATGGTTTTTGTTATAGAAACGACTGTTTTAGATTAAAAATTATAGAAAAAGATTTATATTGAAGATTTTGAATATTGTGAAAAACTAAAATACTTTTGTGAGACAATGTGTGTGTAAGGATCTGACCTAACACTTATAGATGAATATATTATAGGTGGCAACACTAATACTTTTTAGCTTCTAACTGCAACCAACTTCACATTGATATAGAGACAAGATACTGACGCGCTTGATTTAATTATTGAATTGTAGTACTTAATTATAATCTTATTTAATAAACGGAAATATAGAGCATTGCGCTCCATAGCTGGTGACCCCGCAAGAACACTTAATGGAAGACGAAAACGAGGACCGATTTGAGGACGCGGTTACTCCTTTCCGGGTGGCACGGCTCACCGTGAAGCCGTCACCATTTTGGAAACCAGACCCTCGGTTGTGGTTCGCGCAGGTGAATGCTCAGTTTTCGCGCGTGGGAATCTCCACAGATGAGACTAAATTTTATACGGTTGTGGCCGAAACAGACTCTGCAGTACTGGCACACGCCAGTGACATGATTTCTTCGCCACCTGCTACAAATAAATACGAAGCCTTGAAGCAGAGGCTGATTAGCGAATTTGGTGAGTCAAACGAAAAGCGACTCAAACGTTTGTTCGCACGTTGCGAGTTGGGCGACAAAAAACCTACAACTTTACTCAGAGAAATGAGAGATCTTGCCAACCATCGCTTGGACAAAGAAATTTTAAAATCTTTATGGCTGCGACGTTTACCAATCCATGCACAACAGCGACCCTCGACGACGACATAGGCGACTTGGCGAGGAAAGCCGACAACATAATCGAAATACCGACAATGGGTAGCAATACTAACGCAGTCAGTGCAATAACAGACAATGAATTGGAAGCCATTTCCGACTTGGCGAACATGCTCAATCGTCTCGAGCACAGTAATCACCGCAGTGCCCAACAAAACGATCAGGGCCACAGTAATAAAGCAGTACGTCTGCAGCCATCGTCTAGTGCACGTAATCGTTCGACTCTGCCAACAAACCACGGTTTCTGTTGGTATCATCATACTTTCGGTGACAAAGCAACTAGGTGTCGATCGCCATGCACCTACGCTCAGCGACACGCGGAAAACTAGTCAGCCCCCCGTTCAAAGCGGCTACAGTGGGGGCTGACAATGGTTCTTGCCGTCTTTACGTCCGAAACAGAGTATCCTCGTTGAAATTTCTTATCGATACGGGCGCTGAGATATCAGTAGTGCCCAAGCGTAATAGCTAAAACACTCAAACATTCGCTATGAAACTAGTGGCTGTATATAATACGCATATAAATACTTGCCTCCAAAAACGCATTACATTGGACCTGGGTCTACGGCGGACATTCTCCTGGTTATCTATTGTCGCCGACGTCGCTCACCATATATTGGGTGCTGATTTTTTCCAGCACTACGACATTGTGGTGGACGTCAAAAATAAGGTAATCATCGAGAAAACAACGAACGTTCAAACTATTTGTCAAATAATGAAACCAGCACATAGTATTATTTCACTAAAAGGAGACAACATGTTCCAGCAAATTTTAGCGCGTTATTCCGACCTCACCAATGCCTCGACTGGGTTAAATAAAACCGAGGCGGCAGTCCAGCACTTCATAGAAACGAGGGGAGCCCCGGTAGTTCAGAAAGTACGTCGCCTGTCCCCTGAAAAGATGGAAATCGCTAAAAAGGAGTTCGAGTATTTGTTGGAGCGCGGAATTTGTCAACGCTCGAAGAGCCAATGGTTAGTCCGTTGCAAATGGTGCATAAATCTAACTGCTCCTGGCGCCCATGCGGCGATTACCGACGATTGAATGCAAAGACAATTCCAGACAACTATCCCGTTCGTCATATTCAGGACTTTGGAGGCGACATACATGGTAAAACAATTTTTTCTGTGGTCGACTGTAGGAAAGCGTACCATCAGATTCCGGTGCATCCAGCTGATGTTCCAAAGACTGCCATACTAACCCCTTTCGGGCTTTTTGAGTTTAAGTATATGACGTTTGGCCTCAGAAACGCCGCTCAAACGTTTCAACGATTTATCGATGAAACGGTCAAGGGACTACCGTTTGTTTTCCCATATCTCGACAACGTACTCAACTCTTTAGACGTTATCGTGAGAGAGGTTTAGTTATCAACGAAGGAAAATGCCAACTAGGCCAGAACGAGGTGGAATTTTTAGGTCACTTGGTGTCGTCTAAAGGCATCAGACCACTACCTCACAAGGTAAAGGGTATACTGGAGTGCAAGAAACCGAAAGTGGTTCACGAACTAAGGCGGTTTTTGGGGACCATAAATTTTTGTAGGCGTTTTCTACCGCATGCGGCCGCTACTGCAGAGATTGATGGGTCCTTGTAAGAAGAGGGACAAGACATCAATCAGCTGGATGCCTGAAGCTACTGAAGCTTTCCAAAAGCTCAAGGAACAATTAGCGAATGCAGCACTCATTGCATTCCCTTTGCGAGGTGCCACGATTGCCCTGATGGCTGACGCATTAGACATTGCAGTCGGTGCTGTTCTACAGCAGCGGGTTGACAACGGGTAGGCACCGTTGGGATTTTACTCACAAAAGTGTACTTCAACTGAACAGCGATATAGTGCGTATGATCGCGAATTGCTAGCGATCTACAAAGCGATCCGACATTTCCGTTACTTTCTGGAAGGAACGAATTTTATTATCTTTACAGACCACAAACCGCTTATGCACGCCTTCAACCAGAAGTGGGAAAAGCTTTCACCACGACAAACTCGGCAATTGAACTACATCAGTCAGTTTTCATCTGACATCAGACACATAGGTGGTGCTCACAATCATGTAGCTGACATGTTATCACGGATTGAAACATTCGCTCTGCCATCGCCGATAGATATGCAGCATTTACACGACGAACAAAGCAACAGCGATGAATTGAAGGAGTTGCTCAACGGTGGGCCTACTTCGCTTCACTTGGTACAGTATCACCACCCCGATACGGGCATTAACATAGTCTGCGATGACTTAATCGCCCATACGTCCCAGAATCCTTACGACAGGTAGTATTCAACGCCAACCACGGGTTAGCACACCCAGGTGCGAAAGCAACCAGTAAACTAATTTCCAGAAATTTTGTTTGGAAGAGAATGAGCAGCGATTTGCGGGCACGGGTACGCAGCTGTCTAGCATGTCAGCATTGTTAAGTCGCACGTCACACAAAAGAGGAACTTGAGACATTCGCGATCCCAGGCAAACATTTCGAGCACATCAACGTGGACCCTTCGCACCTTCGAGGGGATTCACCTACTGTTTAACTTGTGTCGATAGGTTCTCCAGATGGATAGAGGTGATTCCGATGTCAGACATGACAGCTGAGACCGTCGCTAGAGAGTTAATTAGAGGGTGGATAAGTAGGTTCGGTACACCCAAGTACATCACCACGGATCAAGGCCGACAATTTGAGAGCGCCTTGTTCACGCAACTAGCGAAGCTGCTCGGCGTAAGACATATTCACACCACCAGCCATCATCCGCAAGCAAACGGGTTGGTGGAAAGGTGGCATCGAGTTTTGAAAGCGGCACTCAGGTGCCACTCAGCCGACACCAACTGGGTGGATGTTCTCCCGATTGTCCTACTCGGACTAAGAACGGCTGTGAAGGAGGACTTAGGCGCGTCGGTAGCTGAAATGCTCTATGGTCAGCCAATTCGGCTTCCTAGTGATTTGTTGAACACCTCAGAAAGCACACCTGCGGACGAGCAAAGCTTCTTACGAGATCTACGACAGCACTTCGAAAATGTGAAACCAACGCAAACTTCGCAGCACGGTAAACATGCAGTTTTTGTACCCAAAGATCTACGTTTTTGCAGTAACGTTTTCTTACGAGACGACACCATTCGTAAACCGCTGAAGGCACCGTATGACGGTCCATATACTGTCGTTAATAGATACCCGAAAACATACACCGTACTAATCGGGTCGAAACCAGTCACGGTATCCATAGACCGGCTCAAGCCGGCTTACTTTCCAAGAGACGAGCTAGCAGCTATACCATGCCATTTTCCCGGCGCTCCTGGAAAGGGGGTGGTGCAGGGATCTGACCTAACACTTATAGACGAATATATTATAGGTGGCAACACTAATACTTTTTAACTTCTAACTGCAGCCAACTTCACATTGATATAGAGACAAGATACTGACGCGCTTGATTTAATTCTTGAATTATAGTACTTAATTATAATCTTATTTAATAAACGGAAATGTAGAGCAATGCGCTCCATATGTGTGTATTAGTTTATGTTTTTGACGGAGAACTTGTAGCTGTTGACGTATGGGATCACGTACAGACTTTCCCCTAGAAATTTCACCGCGCGTTGTGACTTCTTTCATTATATCTGGTGCCACCTCAGAAATAAATTCTAGGTCATATTCACTTGCAATATTATGCAAAACGCAGCAAGCTCTTACGAAGTGGCACAGTTTCTTCAAGCTTCTTAACTTGCAGTAATACAACTGCCTAAACCTTTGCTTTAAGATGCCAAAAGTATGCTCAATAGCAAACGTCCGGAGTTGAGCATAATATGGAAATATTTTTGAGCCCATAATCCCTGTTCGGTGTTATTAGAAATCTGCTACATGGGTACGCTGAATCACCCAAAAGGTAGTTATCTGAATTACAGAAAAAAAAATATGTATTTGCAAGACAAGAAATGTGTGTACATTCGACTGCATCACGAAGAAAGTTTATTCGCCAAGAATTAAAAAGGGTGAGAAAATGTCCTTTCAATGATACCTCCACAATAAGAAGACAATTTATCGTAAATAATTGAATTTGTATAAACCCAGCTATCGTGGCTAGACCCAGGATATCCCACGAATATATTTATGTTTAGGCCTTCAG